CCTGTGTGTCACGTTTCCGATGAAGGTACGTCTGACATATTATTATGGTGGATGGTTAGAGTGTGTCACTGATAAATTCTACTTCGTTCTAACCCTCTCTTCTTTTTTCCTGCTGTCTTACCTTTCCTCGGCGGCACCAAATGACTATTGTGTCACTCTTTATACCCCAACCTCTAAAAAAAACAACAAAGAAGAAGAAGAAGAAGAAGAAGAAGAAGAAGAAGAAGAAGAAGAAGAAGAAAAAGAAGACCTACGACTAGTTGGAGGGTGCAACTGGTAGGACGTTTTATTTTTTCTCCCTTTCTCTCCCTCAATTGTTTCTGTCTTACCTTTTTCCCTGCACTAAATGACGCTAAACTTTAAAAAAGTTTTAGTAGAGGTTTTACAGCGCTCGCAACTGCATAAGGTCATATGAGCGCCAGAAGATAAGAGGTGTTACAAGAGAGTAACAAAACTTAAAAAAGAAGAAGGGGAGATAAGGACGATAGATCTAGATGTTTGATAGGAAAGAAGAAGCAAACCATACCTGAGCACCCGCCAACCACCCACCCGACGCTAAACAAAACAAACTCAACAAACAAACAATGGGTAACTTGAAAATGTTCTGGTGTGGTTTACTCCTTCTTTCCACATCTATCATCCTTATCTTTCTTCCTTCTCTGTTTTTGTGTTTGTTACTCTCTTGTGTGGTGGCGGAGCGGTTAGTGCGCTCGTCTCCGAAGCGGAAAGTCCGGGTTCGAGCCTCGGCTCGGACACGGATTTTTTTCACTCCCTCCTGCCCACCCAGCAGTAATGGCTACTTAACTTTGAGTTGAGGAAGTAAATGCGGCGTGGAAAGGAACTGGCCACCCTATCACAATATGCCGAAAACCCAGGAAGTTGCCCCACTAACAAGGCAATCCCGAGTGTCCGGATTGGATGCGGGAACAACTTTACTTTTTACTCTCTTGTATTGTAACACCTCTAATCTTCGGCAGTTATTTGATCTAACTGTTGTTGCAAGTGCCGTTAAACTCTTACTATAGCAACAACAAAAACACCCCCCCCCCAAAAAAAAAAAGAAAAGAAACAAAAACACCAACATATGAGAAGTTTACACTGAGCAATTATTGTCAAAGATTGTGCAATCACGTTTTCTGATTGGGAAATCAGGAGTCCTACGCAACAATCGCAATAGTACATGTGTTATTATTGTCATGTCGCCACCGGCACTTTTAAAGAAGTTTTATACCCCCCGGGGCAGTGCCACTGACTGTAGTGTCTGTAGGCCATTCCCAAAGGGGGGGGGGGGGGACATTTCTCGTTCAAACATAGTAGAATTGTAAATGGGCTGACTCATGTCACGCTCATAACTGGGCCTGATCTACAACAGGGAACTGTTGCTTTTTCTTTCCTGATCCTTACTATTGTCATTTTCCTCTACTTTTTTTGTATGTTTGTCACTCTCTTGTGACCAGCTATTTCCAGGGTGCCTTGATAGTCGAACTGACCTTGTGCTGTTGAAGCTAGAGAGGTGAGCAGTCTAAGTCCGATTCCCTGTAAAAACTTCTCTGTTGACACTCACCTCTTGGCGCTCATGACCTTATGCAGTTGTGAGCGCCGTAAAACCCTCTACTATATAAAAAAAAGAAGTTTTATTTAGTTTTCTCAAACAGGTGTAGTTTCAGAGTTTTAATCAAGTACCTTCGTCTTTCTGCTGGAACGTTGTATCCCTCTCAGCTCATTTTGGACCCGAGAGGCATGGTCAAAGTCGATCTCCCATATAATATCTAATTAATTTTTGTTTGTGTTGAAGATGGTAGTTTGGGGGAGGAGGGGTTGGCGAAAAAATGACCACCAACGTTTGGTGGCTTCCTAAGCTTGAGTGTCATGGTAAAATGCTAATGTACATGTTTTGTGCCTTCGAACAACGTTTTTCCAGTAAAAATCCACACAGAAATGTGAGTTTTTAAATTTTAGAGAAGAAAATTATCCGTCGCTATTCGGATTCAAACCTGGGACGTACTGAATGAGAGGCGAACACCTTAACTTCTTGAACACGACGAGAGCCCCCCCCCCCCCCCCCCCCCCCCCCACCCACACACACACTCCAACTGGAGGTTTTGTTGAAATAGAGTATGCCTGAAAATAAGTCTGTCTTCAGGGACGATACATCCCTCTAAGGCCTGATTTGTCTCTGACAGGCACTGTAGAAGCAGTCCGATTCCTTAATTAATTACTTACTTTACTTTACTTTATCCGTCCTCTTGTACCTCTTGGGCGTCGAGGGGAGAAAGAGCTTCCTGTCCCTAGCAAGTTTGATGGCCTGGCTGGGTGGGATATTGAATGTTCTCAGGGTATCCTTCACACCCTGGATCCAGGTCTTTCTTGGTCTGCCTCTTCCTTTTTACCCTGACACTTTCCTGTAGTAGGCTTTATTGGCAAGCTGGTTAGGGGCCATACATGTGAGATGTCCAAACCACCTGATTAATTATAATTAATGATAATTAATTATAAGACAATCACCTGCTCTAACGGCCACCTGTATAAGACACTCACCTGTGTAAACGGTCACTTTCCATTCCTCCTTGATTACTTATAATTACTTATAATTAATTAGAAGACAATCATCCGCTCTAATGTCCACCTGTATAAGACAATTATAAATAATTATAATTATTTAAACTTTGTCTTTAGGGGGTATAAAACAGACATATTATGTAGGGCTACAATTCGAAAAATACAGTCGAAATGTGTGGCAGCGTGGTGGAATCAGGCTCTCGTCAATTTTGGGGCATGTAGAGTTATTTGAATCATCTTACAGCTTATTCACTTGTCTTTATTTGGATGAAAAAACAACAACATTTATCTTGAATACAAGTCGAGATATTTGCGAAAGAAGGAGGTGGGGATCACCTGTTTTTAGAGGTACAATTAGTGAGAAAATAGCCGCCAAAGATTAGTTATTTCCATAGCTTAAGAGTCCGTGGTAACTGAACATTTACATATTTTTTTTGTACCGTTAATCAACGTTTTTCAGAAAAATCCACACATAAATGAGTTCTTTAATGGGCTTGAAAGGTGTTGAGCCAAAAAACAAAAATTTGATAAAAATTCACAAACCTGCGGAAAAATGCACGTTTCTTCACTTTGATTATTTTGACGAGAGCCTGATTCCACCACGCTGCCTCACAATGAATGCAGTCGAAATGGTCTGAAACAGCCACCTATTGTCGATGAGACAAGCGACCAAACTAGACAGTTTGCCGTTTTACACAATTTCTTTATAATCCTTTTTACGTTTACCTTTTCCTTCCTCTGGTGTATCCTTAGGATGTCGAGGGAAGGTGCAGGTTTCGGTCCTGTGCTAAGCGTGTGGTGTCTGTGATAGATATGTTATGTTGTTCCAAGACCGTTTTAACCCCATACAGCCAGGTTTTTCTTGGTCTATCTCTTGCTTTGCAGCTGGATTCACGGGTGTGGTAAGCACTTGTCGCTAATTGTTCCTGGGGTATTCAGGTTAGAGTTCCGAACCATTTGACTCTTTGACGCTCAATGAAATTCATTAGTGGTGGCATTCCGGTTTTTAGGCGTATGGTCTCCTTCCTTATGCGGCCTTTTCTGCCGACATTGATGATTTTGCGGAGACACCTCATTTCCTATGCATTGATTCTTCTTTCTTGTGTTTTTGCCATTATAATATATTTGTTGTGTAAAAATCGCAAGGACAAGGGGGAACGGGAAATGACCATTTACACAGGTGATTGTCTTATACTATACAGGTGGCCGTTAGCACAGGTGATTGTCTTATACAGGTGGCTGTTAGTACAGGTGGTTGTCTTATACAGGTGGCTGTTAGAGCAGGATTGTCTCAAACAGGTGGCTGTTAGCACAGGTGATTGTCTTAAACAGGTGGCCGTTAGAGCAAGTAACTGTCTTAAACAGGTGGCCGTTAGAGCAGGTTCAACTGTTCCTGTATTTCCGTGCAGGTGAACGGCTTGATCACCCCTCGCAGAACGGCGGTGGTCATAGTGATCATCTACGTGCTGTTTGCCGCCAGTGTGGCCCCCGTCTACTACATCAGCAGGCTGGCCTGGAGGTTCAACCCGGCCCGAAACAGGACCATCCTAGGCCTAGTGTTCACAGAGGACAGGTATGTACAGCCCCCCT